GTCAGAAACACTCACTCACACCACACAGCTGCCCTGGTCCTCCCCCTCTGCCCCCCAAACCTCCACCTGCTCCTCGGTACTAGACAGACAGCAACCAAACTGAGCTTCTGCAACACCTCTTTCAGCAGATCACCCTGGCGCTCAGAGAGTGCCCACAACTGAACCCCACCTCCTGGGCCTGGCTCTCAAAGCCAGGAAAGGCAGTGTCTCACCTGCTCCAGCCAGCCTCTGCCTCACCCGGGACCTGTGTCCTCTTTTGCCTCTTACCTCCTCTACTTGGGGGGTTCCTCCACCTCTACGATTGTCGTTCCCACTGATCCACAGCCCACAGTCCTTCAAGGCCAAAAGCATGCTCCAGCTCACTGGGGAACCACTGACCTACCCTCGCCCATTGCTGGCTTTGCAACTGGTCCCCTATGAACGTGTGTCTTCCCTAGGCAAGTACTTCTACCTGGAGAACCAGGCAGACACTCTGACTTCTTGCCACTTCACTTCACTGCTTGTTGTGCTTACTGTCCCCCGAGCTGTGCGAAGCCCTTTACAACCACCAAGCCGTTCAACGCTCACAGCAAACTTTCAAGGTGATGCTACTGCCCCCCGACATCTGCTCATTCATTCATTCATTTAGAGTCAAGGACTCACTATGTTGCCCTGGCTGGACTTGGAACTCGGGGGCTCAAGCAATCCTTAACCTCCTGAGTAGACGGGACTACAGGCATGCGCCACCATAGCTGGCCATCCCCACTGTGATGTGCGAGGAAAGGGAGGCTAAGCAGCGAACGACAGAGCCAGGACTGGCCCAGTGGGTGACTGCAGAGCCTGCACCCTCACACCTGGCAGATGTGTGTAGCTCTCTGGGCATCGCCCGTGGTGGGGTTTCCCAGTCGCAGGCTGCAACCATGACTGAGCCACGAAATCAATGTAGTGCAGCATTACAAATAAAAGGCAGAAAAATAGTGTTTTGCACACATTAAATATTGTTCCAGGAAAGACATGCTCCGTTTATACACACACGTGTGCTGAGACACGTAAAAAGTCCATGGTCAAAAGGTATTAAAAATGCCTTAGTCCTATAGCACTTAGGTATATAGCAAGCAAACATTTATGGCAAATTACATTATTCAACTATAATTATTTAATAATTTGTTCCCAGGGAACGTGATTGTCAACATGGGAGTTTTATGTGTTTCAGAAATACAAATTTTAAAATAAATGCTATGTGATAATCTGCCCCAACTATACTGTTAGGGGTCACCAGGGAGTCACCATGGACCATGCATTGCTGATGGGATGCCTGGGGGTCGACTGGATTTGCCCAAAGACATGATGCATTTTCCAAGCTCTATTCACATTCTCTGGCCAGGTCATTGTAAGACCAAGAGTACAGAATCAGAAGACAGTTGTCAAGAAATAAAGGCTTGATCTGCAGCCTGAGACAGAACAAACCTCCCTAGTTCAGATTAACTTAACACATGACCTTGGTCTCAGTGATACCTATTTCTGATGAAAACCAGCTACGAGGGCACTCCCTGCCCTAAGCGCCATCTCTGTCCTCAGCCGCCCTGAAGTGCTCCAGATCTAAGCCCCAGCACCCACTGGGGTGCTCCAGAGCCTCTTTAGCTGAAGAGGCAGAGGAGTATAGCAGGGGAGCTAACAGAACTGAGAATCACCAAGACTTTATGTATCCACATTTTGGGTACATAGAAAAAATATTAAGGACTAAGTTAGTTCTCTTGGCTTTTATGTAGTTATCACTTAAAACATGCCAGGGAAAACACATACCTATTTAAAGGAAACAGAGAACCTGTGAATACATTAAAAACCACTGAACCGTATACTTTGAAATGGTGAATTTTATCTCAATTTTAAAATATAAAAGGAAATCAGTGTCATATTTGATACTATACCTGGGTTCCGATACTCCAGTAAAACCACCCAACGTAAGAAGGATGCCGGAACCAAGCGTACACTCCACTTGTCACCAGAGTATGGGTATCTGATTTTTCATTCTGTACCACGTGGTTGAAATTGGAGCCAGCTGTAAACATGGCTGCTTTCCTCAGACATTCTCCAAAGACCACCATCAGCAGCCCTGTGACGCTGAGCCAGGTGATCTGCTTCAGTTCTGCAGGAGAGAGGCATCGGTGAAGACACCGGACTGTCGCACTCCCCCTCGCACTGCTTAAAAATCAACCTATTTTCCCAAAGATAGAAACGTTAGAAAACATGCTTGTGGACAATTAGCGTTTGTCAGCGCATTAAAATTTAATGATAAGAAAACACATTCCCCTAAGTCGTGCTGTTCATCCCTTTAAAGTGCCAACAAGCCCATTAGTGTCATGGTGAAGAGGTGCCCCCTCCTAGAGCTGATGGGCTCTCTTGCTGACATACCCCCACCACACACTCACATCCTTCACTAGGGGCAAGTACAGCTAAGAGAAGTAGAGAAGGATCCAGGGCTTCCAGCCTGAATCCTGGACACTTTATTCCACTGGCTGTGGGAAGTTCAATTTCTGAGTAGGTTCCAGATGCAGAAGTTTTTGCTGGTAAACTCATCACATGAAATGTCTCAGGTCACAGAAAATGAACACATCCAAACCTCCTCTGACTGTAAAATTAGGATGACAACTATCAAAGGTTGAGACTTTATATTAGATGGTGTACTATGTTACACAGGTTTAAAGCAAAAGGTCAACACGTCCTCGATTCGAAATCCAGAAGCAGAATTAATGAGCAGAGCTCATCCTTTATAAATAGCTTAGTGAGGACAGAGGTCTGGGGAAAATCGCTCAGGGGAGATTAGACCTGAAAGGTGAACCGATGTCACCGTCCTCAGCCCAAGTGGGAGCCACCCTTCTTCAGGGGGGAATGTAGGGCACACTAACCTGGCCAAAAGATATTTCCAAGGGTGAACTCTATCCAAGAAGAAAGAGCAGCTGCTGTATACTCCAGACTGTGATTCAGGAGAAAGGAGTCCAAGGACAGACTTTTGGGATTATTGACTGCTGTCACTAAGTACTCAGAATAGTGGAACAATGACAGGGAGCACATGTACCTATTTAAAAACGAAAAGAAAAAGAGGTAAATTGGGGCAAGGGAACCAAGTTAGCCACAGGTACAGATTTGGGTCTCCTGAACTATCCCTAATTCTAAGAGGTCCTGTTCTCACCTGCCTGAAAGTGAACCTCAGGCACCCATCTGCAGCATTTACTCCCTGAGGTTTGCAAGAAGTGGGGTTTTTAAGGGACTATGTTTTTGAATGTCACAGGAACAAACAAAAAAACCCTCAAAAACCATAGGTTAGGGAGGCAATATGAGCCCTTCAGTCCTTTTAAAATGACACTACACATAATAAAACACGAAAGAGGGAAGTATCAACATAAAGTAGTGATGTATGTAAAAATTGAACAAAACTGAAACAATTCCAGCAAAGAAGGATTCAAGGCTCAAAATAGTGATAATAGGAGATAAAGCTTTTTACCTTGAAGCCACTGGTTCATATCCAGGACAGACTAGAAGGCTCAAGGGACTGAAATAGTAGTGTAGGGAAAAATCCTACACTGGCTGTGGGGATGCGCTAGATGTGACCTGATAGAAATTAGAGACGAAAAAGGCCTATGAAGACAAGCCAGAGCCTTGCCCCTTCCCACCACCGAGGACCTGTACCCCTTCCGGGAAGGGCCTGTCACATTACTGAATGCTGTCACTGCAGCTGGGATGAGGACGCCTTTGGGGAGGGTGCCAGGGAGACCTGTTTCTGCCTGAAACAAATCAACCAACGGGCACAAGATCACAAGGGCTGAAATGTGGGAATTGAGATGGAAGTCAGGAGACTTCATTTCCATAGAGCCCTAAACAGCCTTCTGCCAGTCAGAGACGGGACACAGGGATGAGGAAATGCCATACTGCTGACCCTCTGATCTGTCCACCCTCGCCTCGAAACCACTATTCATTATTCCCAAAGTCCTTCTTACCAGCCAAAGTGATTCCAAGAAGACTGGCTAAAACTTAGCAGCATGCCGCAGCCAAACACAAAGCCAAGGAAACAAGCTCGGATGGCTATCTGAAATGGACCCAAAAGAAGCTCAGTCACCCGCCGTTCCAGAGCACGAGTCCAGGCTGCTGACCTTCCTGGGATAGGCAGGCCACTGGCAGGCAGACAGAGGCAATGTGCTCAGAGCTTAAAAAGGGTGAGGCAGGGCTGCCTGGGTTCAAATTCTGTACCCACCCCTCTCTGGCGGGGAGGCCTTGTTACTTCACCTCTCCGGATTTCATTTCCCCATCTACAACGCGGAGTCACGAAGGTACCTACCTTTCAGACTGCAGTAAGGATTACCCGTGAAAGCACTTTTAAGAGTAACTGCTACAGAAATTTTATCTGTTATTATTACTATTTTGGCTTTATTATTCAGGGGTGTGGGAAAACTGCTTAACTCTAGTTTACTGACAGAATTCAAGTCCAGCTTATCTAGTCAGGGCACCCAGCACTCTGCACTCAGCCCCCTCCACGTAACTGCGGGGCCTTTGACCTCAGACTTGGCAGCAGGTAGGTCTCCACACCTTCAATTACATAAAAGAACTCGTAGGCTCGCTCAATCCACACCCCACGCGCATCTGCCGCAGCTGGGAACAGCACGAACTGCAATTTAACACCCACACCCCGGGTGCAGGGCGCCCGCCCCCGGACAGGCAGGATCCCCTCCTGCGACCTGAATTTGCGGCCGAAGAACAGGCCGTGGGAGGCCGCCCCGACCCGGAGAGGTGGCGCCCGCGCCCGGCCCGCGCCCGGCCCCCGCCCGGCCTGCACCTGGTAGCGCGGCGGCCGGTACAGCAGGAGCAGCAGCGCGTTGAGCCCCGCCACGTAGAGCGCCAGCCCGGTGCGGCCCTGCAGGCCGGCGCGCGTGAGCAGCGGCAGCGCCAGCACCGAGGCGCCCAGCAGGAAGGTGGCGAGGCTGAGGCGCGCTTCGGAGCCCGGCGGAGCCCGCGCCGCGCAGCCCGCCATGGCGCAGGGCGGCGAACAACCGGGCGGCGCCGGCTGTAGCCCGGGGAAACCCGCCGGCCGCGCCTGCGCACTGCGCCGCCGACGCCGGCCCGAGAAGGGCAGCTGCCAGGAGCTGCGCGCCGCCCGCGAGTTCTCGCGAGAACAGCGGCCCGCGGGGCTAGTGGCCCCGATTTGGCGGGAGCGCCCCGCCCCCCCCGGCCCCGCCCCGCCGGCCCCTCGGGGACCCCCAGACCCTGCCCAAGCCGGAGGCTGTTGGGGCTCGTGTAGTCGCCGCCTGCGTCTGCCGAAACTTGACTACAGACTCAAGAAAGTTCCTGTCCCAAGAAAAAATCTGAAACTTGAAACGACCCGTCCCTCGGCCGGCCCTGCATGGTCCTCCCAAAACAGACACACTGGGGCGCTCATCCCGACTGTGCGCAGGGCCTTCGGCCATCCCTAAGCGGGGTCCCCGAGCGCCCGCTGCGTGCCCCGGGCTGCGGACACAGTCCTGGGAAGCAGCCTAAAGGCCCAGTGTGGGCACCCACGCGCTGGGACCACCGGCGGCTTAAGTTCCTGCGACGGAAGAATGTTGGATGGTGGTGAGAACACTCAGCATGTATCACGTGTCCTAAAAACCGGAGTACAAAACTTTACAGTGTGATCCTAACTTCAGCTGTGATCTAACTTCAGAAAAGGCCCATATGTGAGCCTGGGAAAATGATTTAAATATAAGCCAAAATGATTTAACAGCGATTATCTCTTAAGTGGTAGAACTCTGGGCAGTTTTTATTGTCTTTATATGTTTATGTATGTCCCACACTGCCTACAGTGAACATATATTGCTTTCGTCATCAGAAATCGTTCTTTGCTTTTCTAAAGGGTAGATGCTCTCAGCTGGGGAGCTCAGAGGGCTGTGCTGGAGGACAAGGCCAGCGTGCAAACAACGGAAACACCCAGTCAGGGTGGAAGTGAGGCAGGAGCCAAATAAGGATGGGGTGCAGACAGGGACCCCAGGGGAAGCCCTTGAGTGGGAGGCATTGGGGGGGAGGGCTGGAGCTGGGTCTTGGGGCCCTCAGGGACAGACAGCCCGCCTGGCACTGGAAATGAGATCTAGGAGGGAGGGAGGGCATGAAGTTTGAAAGGCACAGAGGCAGGAGGGAGCAGCCTGAGGAAGGATGGGGGACAGGCCCCAGGGGAGGCTGGTGCAGAGAATGCTGGTCAGCTGGGGCCAGGCCGGCTGAGCCCTGCGTCCGATCCCTGGTGTCTGAGAAGCTGGGTGGAGAGTAGAGGCTGGAATCCCAGGCCCCAACACTCTGTCACCTAGCTTTGTGACCTTAGGCACATCAATTCTGTGAGCCTCAGTTTCCTGTAAAATGGGGATCCCAGTTTCTCTGGCACGAGTTGATATTTGTTCTATAAATCCCAGCACCATGTTTACATGGTGCTCAGGAGGCATCTGCTAAACTTGGTTGATGGGAATTGAAAAGAGATCTAATTTTTTTTTTTTTTTTTTTTTTGAGACAGAGTCTCACTCTGTTGCCCGGGCTAGAGTGCCGTGGCGTCAGCCTAGCTCACAGCAACCTCAAACTCCTGGGCTCAAGCAATCCTCTTGCCTCAGCCTCCAGAATAGCTGGGACTACAAGCATGCGCCACCATGCCCGGCTAATTTTTTTTTCTATATATTTGTAGTTGTCCAGCTAATTTCTTTCTATTTTTTTAGTAGAGACGGGGTCTCACTCTTGCTCAGGCTGGTCTTGAACTCCTGACCTCGAGCGATCCTCCCTCCTTGGCCTCCCAGAGTGCTAGGATTACAGGCGGAAGCCACCGCGCCCGGCCTAAGATCTAATGTTTTAAAAATGAAAGTTGCTCAGTTGCAATGCCACGTGGGAAGGAGGCGTGGAGCTGAGTCCTGGAGCGCCTGCCACTGTCCCCATGTCTCCTTGTCTCCCCCAGACTGGGGACCTCTCCCTCTGCACCTGGATGCCTCAGGGCCACCAGAGGGCGCGCATCGCAACTTCGCTCCAAAGAGTGAGCTCAGTCCTGGGGCGCGAACCACTGGGCCTGGGAAGCTCCTGCGCTGGCCCTCTGCATTTGCTGTCTGCTCTGTGTTACCGCCCTGATTTATCCCCAGGGACTGTTGCCATTCCGGGGGCGTAGAGTGACATGTAACCGGACTGGAGAACCTGAGCAACAGTCCCTCCTGTGCCCACCACCTCCCCTTAGATCCTACATCTTCATCAGCCCCGTCCTGGAGGAGGGAGAAAGAAAGGGGAGACGGTCTCCCCCAGGTGGGGCCAGACTCTAAGGAAGGAGACCTTTTAGAAATCACTGGAGTTGCCGAATCTGTCAGGGCCCCGGGTTCACAGAGCAGTGATGGAGGAGAAGGGAAAGTAGGCAGATCTGTGCACGCAGCATATACCCAGGGAAACAAAGTAGTGACACATGGGGAGATGCACAGGGACAGACAGAAGCACACACACAGACCCCCCACAGAGACCTGCTTTCCCGCCAGAGGGGAGAGCAATCTGGTCAACAAGCCCACTGTGCACCCACTTCTCCAGGCTTGGGGGATGAGGAACCTATAAGAAATATAAGAAAAATAGGGAAAACCACTCAGCCCTGGGATGCCCGGCCGGCCTTTTCTTGTAAATAAGCATTTGAATGTATTTTGTTCTAGGAGCTTGGCAGCAAACAGAAAGGGAGCCCTTTCTCATGCAAGAAGGCCCTTGGGCAACCTTCCCCCTCTCCTCCCCCATCCTGCCATCCACCCACAGGCTGAGGTGGCTGTCCTTCCTGGGCCCAGGTGGAGATCCCTCTTATTTTATTTTTGTAGTCTTGCTACTTTATTTTTAAAAATTTAAATAGATTTAGAGGGTACCAGTGGTTTTATTGCTACATGATGGAGTTGCGTAGTGGAGATGTCTAGGTTTTTGGTATACCTGTCACCTGAATAGTATACATTGTACCCAATAGGTAATTTTTCATCCCATAGGCCCCCTCTTGCTTTAGGTAGCCCTGAGAGCCACTGTCTAGAACCCCAAATTCAGACTCATGTAACCGACATGCAGCTAAAGTCAAACACTGTGACCCTGGTGCTTGGAGATAGAAAAAGGTTTATTTGATTTGGCCAAAGCAAGAAGATGGGAGAGCAAAATCAGATTTGTCTTTTCATTGTTTCATTTTTAATTTTTTTTTTTTTTTTTTTTTTTGAGACAGAGTCTCACTGTGTTGCCCAGGCTAGAGTGCCGTGGCGTCAGCCTAGCTCACAGCAACCTCAAACTCCTGGGCTCAGGTGATCCTCCTGCCTCAGCCTCCCGAGTAGCTGGGACTACAGGCATGCGCCACCATGCCCGGCTAATTTTTTCTATATATTTTTAGTTGTCCGATTAATTTCTTTCTAATTTTAGTAGAGACGGGATCTCGCTCTTGCTCAGGCTGGTTTCGAACTCCTGAGCTCAAACAATCCGCCCACCTCAGCCTCCCAGAGAGCTAGGATTACAGGCGTGAGCCACCGCGCCAGGCCTATTTTTAAATTTTTAAAAATTTTTCTTTTCATTGTTTTAGAGAGCTCTGAGAACCACCTTGATATTTCCAAGTTAAACTGCAGGCTGAGATGAAACTAAGCTTCCTTTTCTTAAACAAGGTTGCCTTATTGAGCAAGAGAGAATGTAGGAAGGGGGCATGGTCCCGAGCATGCAAGAAGCAGGTGCATAGATGGGGAGAGGCATTCTTGCCTCTCATGGCCGGATAAACAAGCACCTCAACCCACATACTAACTTCCCACGATGGAAAGTTTGTTCCTGTCCTAAGTATTGTCTAAGCCTGAAACCAAGTAGGAAAGTCTAGGAACCCCACCTTTTCTAGCTCCTCGATGATGATGGGTCCCAGGTTGGTTGTTCCTAGAGAGCCAGTCTCCTGCAGCTCCCAGACACTCACAGGCCTCTGCCCTGTCCACTGTCCACGTGGCAGCCAGAAGGGCATCAGGGAGGGCCCTGTTCAGTGCTGCTGCTGCTCTCCCCAGGAGGGAACCCAGGAGGTCTTCCGGAAAGTTTTCTTTCCCCTCCTCTGGCCCTTGCAGGCTGGAGGAATGAAAGCTCCCTCTCTAGTCTGGAAATGGGTAAATGATGCGTAATTTACAAGCACATCAGCCCTGAGTGCATAAGTCATATGTGCACAAAGGAGCCGGGTAAATATTTAAAGATTAGAGCTAGCTGGGGAGAAACACAAAAGGCCAGGACAATGAGGGTCTCTCTGAATTCACTCTTCCTGAGCTGGGCCAGCCCGGTCAGCGTTGATGCACTCGCTGGAGTCCCAGCCTTTGTCTCTTGAAGGGCCCTTGGCTGCCCAGCTATTCGAAGTCCCAACACAGCTGAAGAGAGTTAAACAATCGCAGCTTCTCCAACCCCATCTGGAGACAATTGGCTGAGTCGTTGTGGAGCTTTTGCTGTGTCTCCATGGTTAATTACATGGAGCAATCACTTCATTCCACTTTGAAATGCATCTGCAGAGGGGAACAGCTATCTTCCTCCAGTCACCCACTCCCACAGTAAACTGCAAAGCCCTCACCAGTTAGCATTGCTTTAAATGCCCCAAAGGACAGAAAGGAAGGGGCTCCCACCCAGGGCCAGAGGCTGCACAGAGCTGTCTTTTGGGATGAGCGGTGGGACATCTTGTGGGGCTCTTCTCCTGGGACCTGCAACCCCCCTACTTTGTTTCCAGACAAGACACAATGTTCTTTCTTTTGCCAAAGTCAAGAAAACCAAATGGGGGAGAGGGCAAAGGCGCAGCCTACTTTTTGCCTTAAATTCTCCAGCAAGAGAAATGAGGGGCCCTAAGCAGCCTTGGAGGGCCTGAGAGCCCTCAGGAGTTACAGAAAAAAGTTTTTTTCCTTGAATGAGCAGAGGGGGGCCTGGGTCTCCTCAGTGCTCCTCCTGGACCTGTGCTCCTTTCCAGGCTGCCTTGGGGACCCCAGATGCTAAAGATGGAAAGGGAGTCAGTGGCCTACATCCCAGCTTGCGTAAGCCCCGCTTCTAAGTTGGTCCATGCCCTTCCCAGTTCGAGAGCGCTTTGTCCTGCTTGTCCCCAGAGAGGACAGGGTGAACCCGCCGCCACACTCCCCTCCACCTCTGAAAAGCCTCCCAAGTCGCTGTGAACGCCTTCAGAGCCCGCCCTGCCTGAAGGCGTGCTAGGATGCCCAGATGCAGGACTTGCAAACAGAGCAGGGGGCTGGGGTGGAGGATGGAACCGGAGCCTTTAGCCTGGGTTTCCAGGAAGGGTCTTGCTAGACACTCATCTGCTGTCCTTTCCAATGACCTAGTCAGATGCGAAGCCCGATAGCTTTAGCTTAGTGGAGGAAGCTTCGGAGGAGGCTTCGGGAAGGAGCTCGAATTGGGGGTAAAGTGGGGATGGCGGGGAAGAAGCTGTCTCAGAGCTCGGGGAAAGGGAAGGTTGGAAATCGCACCGAGCTCCCTTCCGGCCTTGATCCTGCGCTACCCTCAGCAGTTTAAGGCCAGGAACCGGCCTAAGTGGCTGTGGTGGAGCCACGCGGGTTGGGGGACACAAAGTAACGGGGGTCATTCCAGGTGGGGAGACCCCTGCCCGAGGACGGGCTGCAGGGGAGCGGGCACTACGGGCGGTGCAGGGGTGGTGGGTGTGGGGAGCAGCGGAGGCGGAGGCCTATTAAGCGGACCCGGGCGGAGCGTGACGGCTGAGAATTCCACCCCGGCCGCCCGCCGGGCCTCGCCTTCTGCAGCCAAAGCAGAACATTGCGAATTAGCGCATTTTGCGGTCAATTTTCCACTGCTTAAGAAACACTAAGCCACCCACGTGAGCGGCCCCACCCAGTACGACGGGGATCCCGGGGCACGAGCTTGGGAGGGGTGGCAGCCCTGGGAGCGGCGGGTGCTGGGGTGCGGCCGGGCCGCCGGGGGCCCCTTTATGGTGGCCTGAACTCTGGAGAAGGGGTGGGCCGGGCGCCCAGCTGCGGGCCGCTAGAGCTGCTCCGAGGGCCATTGGTTTGCTAATGCCCCCGAGTTGAAAAGCCCGGGCTGCGGTTTATGGGGAGGGATTGTAATTAGAGGACAAATTGCCCCGCTGCTGGCGCAGCTAGAGAACGCGGGGGCTGGGGGAACCCGCTGGGGCTAGGCGCGCGCCCAGCCTTAGTGCAGATGTGGAGCATCTGGAAGCCCGCGCGCGGCAGGGCGCCCGGAGTGTGGCCCCGAGGGGGCGGGCGCAGGCGCCGCTTTGTGGGGCCCGCACAATGCCCTTAACACTCGGCTGCCCTCTTTGTGCCCAGCCGCGCCGCCCGCCCGCCCAGCGGCGCCTTTGTACCGCGCCGCCACCGCCCCAAGCCGGGAGCTGGAGGCCTCCCCGGCCAGGCTGGCCCTGGAGCTTCAAAGCTGCCCGGCGCGTGCCAGTGCTCGTCGCCCGGCCTCGGACTTGCCGCCCGCCTTCGACCCGAATCGGCCCAAATCTGGCCCGCGGACCCTGCGGCCCGGTGGGAAGAGCGCCCCAGAGCTGCTGTTGCGCTGCCTTGGTCTGAAAGGGGAAGGGCGCGGCGCGATTCTCCAAGCTGCTTGGCGCCTGGGAACGCGGCTGCCCTGGCGACGTCCATCCATACCCCGGGCGGGGGTGGGCGGGGTGAGGGGGGAAGGTGCCCCGGCTCCGTGGAACTGGGGAGCCCACCTGCGACCGAGCAATTTCCCTTCCCCCCCCGCTGAGGCCCTGCAGTGGCCAATTTGTCCATTCCTCTGCCACAGGCCTCCTCAACTACAGAACTTTTGCAACCTCTCTGTTGGGCTCACAAAGCAGCTCACGAGCATTGTTCACAACCCCATTTTACAAACCCCAAAACTAAGGCTATGTGCTGGGCACAGTTTCTCAGGCCTGTAATCCTAGCACTCTAGGAGGCAGAGGTGGGAGGATTGCTTGAGGTCAGGAGTTCCAGACCAGCCTGAGCAAGAGTGAGACCCCTTCTCTACTAAAAAATTAAATAGAAAAATTAGCAGGGTGTGGTGGCATGCCTGTAGTCCCAGCTAGTCCGGAGGCTGAGGCAAGAGGGTCACTTGAGCCCAGGAGTTTGAGCTTGTTGTGAGCTATGATGATGGCACTGCACTCTACTCAGAACAACAAAGTGAGATTCTGTCAATAAATAAATAAATAAATAAAACTAAGGCTATGAGAGCCCAGTAAAGGGAGGTGTCTGAGTTTGAACCCAGGGACTTATCTGGAGGTCAGCCTTCCTGTCAGCCAGGAAGCTGCCAGAGACCAGCGAGAGTGCTGCAGCACAGCGCTGCAGTAGGGCCCAGCCGCCCTGGGGCAGCCCCAGGCACCTCCTCCACCCGGCTCCCTCAGCCTCCCACAGCCTGACACATGGATTGGTGTGGGCCCTGGACCTCCTACAACAGGCTGGAGCTCTCCCTGGAATAGCAGTGGTCTTCCCCACCCCACCGCCCAGTGGGACTGAGAGAAGGCCCAAGGGAGTCCCAGTCCTTCCTCATTGGGGAAAGGGTCCTCCACCTGAGTTGCCCAGCCTGGCAGCTCAGGGCTGGGGGTCAGGGAGAGGTGATCTGCCTCACACCACCTCCTTCCAAGTTGGAAGAATCTGGGTTGGGTCCTAAACAGTGTCAGCGCACACCGAATCCAGGCTGACTTTGGCTAGGAGCACTCCCAGTCCCCAGGCCCCAGCAAGGAAGACGCCAGCTTTGGCCCCGTAGGCAGGCTGCATGCTTTAATGGGACACATGTCTCTGCGTGGCCCCCGCAGGCTCGACCTGCACCCGGCTTTGAGCTGCCAGAGGCAGAAAATTGCTGCATTGTCCCAACATTAGAGCGACTAATGCAGCGTCGCGGGCCGGCCAGAGTGTGAAGAGCACAGAAAGCCTTGCTGGCAAGCACGCCTGGCATCAGTCCCAAGGAGGCCCCAGTGCTGTCATAGTCATTAGAGCAACTCACAGCCGGCTGGGCCCACGGACCTCCCCCAGTGGGCAATTCCCAGAATGCTCAGAGACACAGGGCAGTAAGGACTTGGCAAGTGGGCTCAGAGGTGAGGACAGGACAGGCATGGAGGAGGTGGGCTTGAGACTGGTCCTGGGCTGGGAAGTGGTGGGGGCCAGAGAGACAAAGAAAAGACAGAGAAAGGGGAGAGGGTGTCCCTAGGGAGGAAGGAGGTGTCCTGAAGGAAAGAGGAAGCCTGGGCTAGGGGAGGTGGGTAGTTTCGTGTTCATTCCCTTTTGTCTCCTCCTCCTCGGGGTTTCTGGAGTCCGAAGGGCCTCATTGACATGTAAACGAGGGTCCCCAATAAAGGCGGCACTGACTGCTCCTTGCACATAAAGAGCAACATGGGCACGGAGCCCGCCACCCGGGGCAGCCTCAGCGTCCCCGCCGGCAGCTTCCGCAAGGTCTGGGGTCCTGAGGGGCGCGGGGTGGGCGCCCTTCCCCTGGCCGGCGTCGGGGCAGAGCGGGTGGGTGGTGGTCCCATTCTCTAAAGGCTGTTAATCCGCAGATCTCCAAGCCGCTGATGGAGAAGAAGCGACGGGCACGCATTAACGTGTCGCTGGAACAGCTGAAGTCGCTACTGGAGAAACACTACTCGCATCAGGTGAGGGGAGGGAGTAAAAATGACGCGACCCCCAACCTCACTCCCTCCACCTCGGGCTGCCCGCCTAAGAGCCTTTTCCACGGATCCGCAGATCCGGAAGCGCAAGTTGGAGAAGGCTGACATCCTGGAGCTGAGCGTCAAGTACATGAAAAGCCTTCAGAACTCTTTGCAAGGTAGAGGAGGACGACCCAGAGGGGGCGGGAGAGGATTTGGGGTGTGCGGGTGGGATCAGAACCACGGCTAGGACAAGGCCAGATAAAAGGGATGGGTGAAGAGAAGAGGAAGGCTGGGGCAGCTGGGCAGCTGGGTGAGGAGGGGGCCCCAGATCGCTGGGGGGCGGCCACATTTCTCTCCTTCTCTCTCCTATTCTCCCCTCCCCCCTCCGCTTCCCGTTTCTCCCGTCCGCTCTCCTCCCCGCAGGGCTCTGGCAGGTGCCCAGCGGAACCGAGTACCCATCGGGCTTCCGCAGCTGCCTGCCCGGCATGAGCCAGCTCCTTCGGCGCGGAGAGGAGGGCGGCAGTCCGCGCTGCCCGCTGGCGCCGCATCGCGCGGGTGGCAGCACCACGGACAGCGCCAGCCCCGGCCAGGAGGCTCCCGCGCTGTGCAGCTCCTGCGCTCCCCCAGTCTGGGCTCCTGCTTCGGCCACCGGCGGCCCGCGGTCCCAACCACCTCGGCTCCTCTTCCCCGGAGGTCTCCCCAACTCGTCCGCCAGCGTCCCAGCGCCGCCACCAGCGTCGCGCCGCCGCGCCGAGAGCCCGAGGCCGGGACTGCGCGTGTGGCGGCCGTGGTGAGGCCTAGGCGTGGCCTCGGACTCAAGGGGGTCCCCATCTGGCCTAGGGACACAGTGACTATCTTGAGCATGCCCATGGTGACTTCCGGGACCCCTCATTCGCCCGTTCCCGTCCCGAGGCGGGGGCGGCCTGGAGAGCGCTGCGCACGCGCGAACGCAGGGAAATACGCGGAGGCACGCGCGCACCGGGTCTGCGCCGCCAGGCATAATCTATCCCCACTCCAGTCCCACCTACCCAGGCCAGATCCGCTCGCTCCTCCTCCCACCCTCTAGTAGGGCTGGGAGGGGTTGTCCGGGGCTGCGCCCCCTTTCCCAGGGGCCCCCGGCGGGCAGCCCGCCCCCGCCCCCGCCCAGCGGCCGCACGTCGGTGGGAAGGTAGCAGTTGGCTGCGGCGCAGAGCGGACCCCTCGCAGCGAGGAGAATCACTGCCCCGCCCCGGCCCATTCAGCCGGCCTCGGGCGCCCAGTTCCCACAGCCACAAAGCGCGCCAGGCCCCGCCCTGCCGGCGAGGGGCCCCCAGGCCCAGCCCCACCCAGGACCCTCTCGGCTTCCACCGACCCCTACCCCCTTCGCCAGCCGCGCTGCACCCCCGGCGGGCGAAGTCTCCAAGGCCCGCCCCTCAGAAGTCCCGCCCACCCCGTAAGCAAGCCCCGCCCCTCGCAGGCGCCGAGCACGGCCCACGCCTACTGGCCCGCCCGCCCGGACGCCTCGCGCCTGGGAGGGACCCGTGCTCGGTCGGGCTTCCTTGAGGGCTGAGAAAGCCAACCTGGGCGCCTCTCGTGAGAGGGGCAGGCCTCTGCTCGGCGGAGACCCGGGCGCACATTCCGGGCCAGGCCCCACGGAGCACGCGCCCCCGGACCTCCAAGGCCGCGGAAGAGCTCAAACCCTCGCCGGCCCTCGGAGCGCTCTGTGCCCGTTTATTGGCCCGTGAATGAGGTCATTGCTGGGCTGGGCTTTGGCGTCGAGACACCCAAATCAGATTTTCTTCCCGTGGCTCCCGGCCCGCGAATCCGGGTCTACGGGGGGCAGCCTGGGGGTGGGGTCAGGGATCCCAGCACGTCCTCCCACCAGCTTGTAACTCGGAATAAAGACGGTGAGAGTCCGTGAGCTGGGTATCCAGAGGACACGACGGTTCTCATTTATCCCACGATGCCTACCTACGCTCGTCTTTTCGAACCACCAATACCAATTTCTGCAGGAGCGCTTCTCGCCCTGCCCGTGCCCCGCGCGGCACGCACGTCCTGGCCCGATATCGGGGAGAAAGACCTTCAGTGCATCGGCAGCGCGGCCCCCCACCACACCCAGCGGGCTCGCTGGAACAGAGCAGGGGTCCCGCTTTGGCCGTCGGGGGCGGCTTCTCCGGTTTCTTCCCTGGCTGTGCTGGCTGGGGGCGGGGGAGGGCCGTGGCTGGGACGAATCCTTCTGCGCCCACCAGGCGGCGGCCTTGCACCGCCGACCCAGAGGCACAGCCTCCGACGTTCAGCGGGCCCGCGGTAGGGACAGGGGTGGGCGCGCGGTGGGAGGAGGGTAGTGGGCACAACAGGTCCCCGACGTCTCAGACTGGGCTCCACTTCCCTGCCGTGCTCGTTCTCCTGGTCAAGTTCACAGTGACTGGCAGCCCCAGACGCCGTCCCTGGGTTTGGGGCTGCCACCTGCACTAATAGGGCCTTTCCTCTGGCTGGTGGGCTTTGGGTCCCACCCCACCGCTTTGGCCAGTTGCTGCTCTAGGTCCTTCTCGCTGACTCCCTAGGTGGGACCCAAGCGTTTACCTGGAGAAACAGGGTAAGTCCAACTCAGAGTAACAGTGCACAGGCAGGGGAATTCAGGTTCCAGAGGAAGAGACATTTGGGGGCAGCTAGCTAGCCCTGGTGTTAGCCTACAGAAGGGTTTTCCATGAAATCAGCCTCAGAATGCCAGGTGCAAATCATAAGGAATTTTTATTGGGTCCTGTACAGAAGAAATACTCAGTTGTCAAAAAACTACAAAGGGATCCTGGCTTCTGGAGCTGGGTGGTGCTATGAATACAGAGCTCCATCCCCAGTAAGCCCAGGGTCAAGCTCCTTGTAAATGCAGCAAACAGGCCTGGAGGCTGGGCAAGTGTGGGAGAGCCCCAGCTCCAGGTCTTCCGCTAGGGGTCCTCCCATTTATTTTTGTAGAAACTCCAGGAATGGAGCAAGTATTGCCGTTGGATATGAAACATACAGAAAAACTCAAGGTGACAAATGGACAAATGCCCCTAAAATGCAGACAGTGGCTAGTTGGTGACCTCTGCCCCCACGTGACACATCAGTCCTTGAAGGCACAGCAGCACTGGCCGGAAGTGGCCCCTTGCATGTCCATGGCTGGACTGCAATCCCCTGCCTTGCTCACCTGTGGCCAACTCATCCCCCAGTTACCCCACAGACAGCGACTGGAGCGGCCTCTGAGGCAGAGACAGCCTCCCCCCACCACCTTCTTCTGGGGCTGGGACCCTGTCCAGAGGGTGAGGAGATGGGCTTGGCCACCCGAGGTGCAGAGGGAATAGGGCACAGGCTGGCTCTTTGCTGGCCTTGGACACTGCTCCAGGTCTTCACATTGAGGGGCCACTACACAGAGGCAGGGCCAAGAGGAGATAGCCTCTGCATTGGCCCCTGTCCTGCCAGCTTAAGGTCACAGCTGGCCCTGGGCCTCTCCTTAGCCTGGGAAGACCCAGGGCCTACGGTAAAGCTCAGGCCTGCAGGGGGTCTGCCCAGGAAGGAGAGCAAAAAACAGCCCTGTGTCTGGGAGAGAGGACCTCTTGCCAGGTCCTTGAATCCAGAGTCTGGAAAGCTGCTAAGCCAGGATCCCTTCCTGGCAAGGTGGGGGAGGTGAGGTTGGGGATGGGCACCAGGACAAGGAAGTCCAGGCCCCTCTGCTTTAGTCCTCTCCACCATGTACCTACGGCTTTCATGGAGGGGGTCAGAGAGGTGGCTGATGTGGTGGGGACAGGCAATGACAGCAGAGTGATGAGGGTGGGGTTGAAAATGGTGGTGGAGGTGGCTGTGGTGCCAATGCAGGTGTTGTGCTTAGCTGGGGTGGAGTGTGAGTTCCCAAGGGAACAGGGGTACAGAGAGAGGTTGGCACCCCAGGCCACCTGCTTAAAACTGACCCCCACAAAGGACCCAAAGAGGGTCCTAGACTACCTCTCACACCTGGTCTACTCAGTGTCCAGAGTACATGGACCAGGAGACTTCTTCAAACGGCCCTGAGAGTTAATATGGTCACCTGCTCATCACAGATGGGGGACTGAGGCGGAACAGGTCCGAAACAGGGAGACCTGCTCAGAGAGCTTGTTTGGGCTCTGAAGACCCCTGTGCTTAGAGACTCTCTGCACCCCCCTCCCAGTGCAGTTACGTGCAGGGTGTGGTGCGGTGGCTTCCTGCTCCGGCTCGTCCAAGGCCAGGCTTTGTTTTGTCTGACTGTGGCCCTGTCCCAGGGTTCCCCGAACTCTCAGCCCGGTTACCGGGCCAAGGAAAGCGCAGCCAGACGTGCACACGTCACTCGCACCCCAAGCCCAGCCTCGCTGTGCCCCAAGGATGCCATGCCCAGCAATCATCCAGGGCAGCAGCCACCCCTTCGGGCAATGCTGGCAGGGAGGAGCCGGAGGTCAGAGGCGCTGAGGCTGCCGTCCCCTCACCCCCGGGAGGGGTGGCACATGTCTGCGCACGGGACCGAGGTGGCGTCTTTGGTGCCGTGCCCCGTGGGCGGCCCGGCCTTCCCGGCGTGCGTGGAGAGGCGCCGGCGGGTCTTAGGACGCTGAGCCCAGCGAGTCCGAGTGCAGCGTGACGTAGCCGGAGGACTCGGACGGCGAGCTCAGGAAGCTGCTGGTGCTGCCGTCGCCGCCCGCCACGCGCAGGCCCCCGGGCTCGCCCCATGACGCGCTCAGGCCGGTCCGCAGGGCTTCGGCGTGCGCATGCGCGGCCAGGCACGGGCCCGGGCTCCGCTGGGCGCCTTCAGGGGCCGTGGGGGCCTCGCCCGGCTCCGCGCCGACCGGGGCCGGGGACGCGGCGGGGAAGGGCCCAGGCGGGGCGGGCGGGCGGCGCAGGGCCTGCGGCTCGCGCTCGAAGGCGGTCAGGGCGAAGGCGTCGGGCAGCAGCGAGGCGGAGGCGGAGCGGGCGCCGGGCCCAGGGCGGCGGTGCGGGCTGCCAGGACTGTCGGGGGGCGAGTCGTGGGCGCGGTGCGGGCCGCCGTCCAGGGCTGCGGGGCGCAGCGACAGCAGGCTCTCGGCAGAGCGGCGACGCGGGCGGAACGGGGGCGCGTCCTTGCCAAAGGCCAGCAGGCTGCTGCGGCGCGGGTCGGGCCCGGCGGGCAGCACCAGGTGTGCCAGGGCGGCCAGGTCCTCGCCGGAGCCCCAGCGCGGCAGGAAGGCGGGCAGCGGGACGGCTGCCCACACTTCTGCGTCGTCGTGGGAGAAGCGGCGCGTGGGCGGGACCTGCTGGGACAAGGTGGGCTTGAATCCAGAGCTGCCCTCCTGCAATACGGGGACCACAGCCGCCCCACACCTAAGCAGGGCCGCCTGTGGTCAGGTACCGGGCCAGGGCAGCCTGATTTGGAGCTGTGAGATTGGGGCAAGTGACAGTCCCTTGGAGCCTCAGTGTTGCCGTCTCTAGCTTGGGTTGGTTGGGGAGAAGGCTCCTTGAGGAGGGTGCTGAGCAAGGAGAAAATAACACAGACAACAGAGAACATGGGGGCAGCGGCTGGGGTTCCCTGCGTCGGCCCAGGGGCACAGGCTCTGTGACCTTGGGCCAAACCCTGGAGCCACAGGGGGCATGAGATGAGCGCCAGGAGGAAAGGCCTTGGGAAGATCAGAAAATCCTCCCACCCACATAAGCAGCCTCTCCCCTGCCTGGTCCTTACCTGCAGGTACTGCATCTTGTCCTCCTGCAAGGGCTGCGCTGGGTAGAGCTGGGGTAGGCCCTCCTCTAGGGCAGAGATCTCATACTTGGCCATCCTATCCAGGGCCACAAAGTCACCTCCATAGCCATAGTCGAGGGAACGCTCCAACACCAGGTCCTGAGCAATGCCACCTTCCAGGCTGGTCTCTGCATGGTAGGGCAGAGGCTTAGGGCCATGGACACTTGGGGACATCTAGGAGGGAATCCCAGCGATCCTCCCCCGAGACACACACACACACACACACACACACACACACACACACACACACACACACACACACAGGACTGCTTAGCAGAAAAGGGAAGGGGCAGGGTCCTGGGTTCAAATGCCGACTCTGCCACCCTTTAGCTGTGAGCCCGGGCAGGGAGGTCACACACTGGGCCAACTTCCTCATCTAGGATGGGGGTGGGACCTGAGGTTACCTTGGGAGCCTGGGAAGACTAGTATGTGTAAGGGGCCCGCAATGCCTGGCTCATAGCAAGGGCTCAGCCTAGGGCAATATTGTTATTGCTGAGAGGAGACAGGACCTGGGTCTACAGGAGCCCCTGGGGCAGGTCACCTAAGGGTGGGGGGTGAGCCTGGGAGCTTGGTGGGACACATTTAGTCTCGTGTGCACATGCCCTCTCTGTTAACCAGAACATCAGATTCACTGGAAACCCAAGGCAGCCAAGCTGGATACGAGAAACCCCTGTGGGAACCCAGCTTGGGTCCCTTTGGCATTCAGGTACACTAGGGGCTGTCTGGTGGTTGAGAATGGGGTCTCCTAACAGCTGTTTTCCTGCTGACCCAGAGACCTCACCCCAGACACCGCTCCTCCCGGGGGCCGTCTCAGGCCATTCTCACCATCATCAGAGTCCTCGTTGTTGGCCATGAGGGCCACACACTTCTCCCAGACAGCTTTGAGGTCAGCCCGGTAGCGGTCACAGGCCCAGAGGAACACGGGCAGCAGCAGAGCCTGGGTCACGGAGCACCACAGCACACAGAGCACCATCCAGGGCGCCGAGGCGTCTGCCCGCAGGCTGCTGAAGCTCACCACCTGTGAGCACAGCACTCGCCTGGCACCCAGCAGGGCCCCCATCACACAGCTCCCCTCCCGGCCTCAGTTACCCCATGTGCACGGCAGGCCTGACAACCCACCTCCCAGAGGAGGAAAGAGCCAGAGTGTGGTGGTAGAAGGCCCTGCCCTGAGAAGGCCGCCTGGCTGCCAAGGTGAACAATCATACCCTCAGTGTGTGTACGGCACTTCACAGTGTACCAGGCAGCACTGGGTCTAGCTCTGTTGCCCAGGCTGGAGTGCAGTGGTGCGATCATAGCTCCTCCAACCCAAACTCCTGGCCTCAAGGGATCCTCCTGCCTCAGCCTCCAGAGCAGCTGGGACTACAGGCACATGTGCCACCACACCCAGCTAAGTTTTCTGTTTTTTTTTTTAGAGATGGGGTCTCACTATGTTGCACAGGCTGATCTCAAGCTCCTGGCCTCAAGTGATCTTTCTGCCTCAGGCTCCCAAAGTGCTGGGATTATAGGTGTGAGCTGCAGCACCCAGCACCCCCTTTTTGAGATGAGGAAACCAAAGCTTGGAGAGCCAGGCCTAAAGCCTATTCAGGGACCTTCTCCCACTCCCCCCATTCCCCTAGCCAGTGGCCTCCTTCGCCCTGCCCCTGTTCCGGGGGTCTAGGGTTCAGACCCCAAAGGAGATTAGAAGGGCACAGGTCCAGCCAGGCAGCCTTTGGGTCACTTCCCAGGAACCCCCTAATTCCTCCTTTCCCAGGAGAGCCCTCACTGCTCCACTCCCCCACCCAGAAACCCAAGTGACATTTAATGATTCCCACAGCAGAGCGGAAGTGTGCATGCTGCAGACATCATGTTGGTCCTGCCATTTGTGAACTGGGTGACGCTCAGAAAGCTACTAAACTGTTCTGGGCTTGGTTTCCTCACCTGTGAAATGGGCTAAGAACACCCCACACTGTAGAGGGGAGGTAAGGACTCCAGACTGTTTGTAATAGGCCAGAGGCATGGAGTGGCTCTATGAGCAGCACCCCCTTCCCAACCTGCAGACTCTGGGGTGGCCCCTGCCCCTCCCCCACTGCTGCCCACACAGTGCTCTGTGGTTCTCAGCGGTTTTACAAGGTCCCTTCCCTCCACGGGACCAGCGACGGGGATGCCAGGCCCACTCTACACACAAGGACCCTGTGGCCTGGGGCGGGGGGGCTCCTAGAGGTAGGGTAGCAGGTCAGCAGGGGCCACATCCTGAGCACATCTCCTGACTCTGAAGCTGCCACCCCTCCTCTCACCTTTCTGGAGCTCATGTCCTGCAGTGACTCCAGGGACACAGCCCTGCCCTGCTGCTCAGACGAAGCCTCTCTGGCTGGTCCTTGTCCCTAGCCCCTGCCTGTCCCACTGCAGAGACGGGGCATGGGGGGCCAGGCCCATCCCAGCCTCACTGAGAGGACCCAGGCAGCCCCACTAGACCTTGGATCCTTGTCCGCAAGGCTGTTCTCCGACCAGCCCTCACCTTGACCTTACCCAGCCCTTAGGATCACGTGCAACTCCCCAAAAGACGTTCAAGGCCCGCCCTGGCCTGGCCCAGTTTCTCGCTTCAGTGCTGCTGCCCACCTGCACCGCCAGAGCTCCCTCTGTCCATCCCGGGACCTGGACTTACAGGGAGCCCGTGGGCATGTTACCCCACCTCTGTATCAAACGGGCCTCGGGGGAGGGTAGGAAATGCGTCTGCGGTGCAGCAGAAAGACCCTGGGCTCTGTAGTCTCCCGATGTGGGTTCAAGCCCACCACCGCTGCCCTGCCTTTAGGCAGGTCGTTATACCTCTCTGAACCGCGGTTTCCAGATTTGTAAAACGGGGAGGGTGGTCATGCTCATCTCAGAGGACTGGGTTTGAGGATTCAACCACCTAATGCCTGGAGCGTGCCCAGCCCCAGGGCTGTCCCAGAGCCCAGACTCTGCCACCTGCCACTCTCACCCACCAGCACAGGGAAGCCCATGAGGCAGTCGTAGATGACGACTATGGTGGCCACGAGGCCCGTGATCTGCAGCGAGGTTTTGGTGGGCTCCGAGCCGTCAATGGAGGAGCGTCGCTTGCCCTGCGCGTCCTCCACCACGATGGTGGGCACAGTGAAGGTGTGGCGGTCGGCCCGGCGCCCCACCTGCCGGGCTAGTGTCTGGAAGAGGGCGATGGCCGTGCAGACCACACCCATGGCCACGCTGCCACCCACCAGCAGCAGGAAGCAGACGCCAAAGCCCAGGCCGATCTCAGCCACGATGAAGCGGCAGCCGTGGGTGTAGAAGCGCTGGCTCGTGTCGTGCCAGCCGACGGCAGGCAGGGCCGACAGGATGAAGGACACCATCCAGATGCCCATGACTGTGTGCACAGCCTGTTTCTTGGCGTTGCTCAGCCTGGCACGGGGCAGAACGAACAGAGGGACCCAGTGTCACTTCCCAGGCCTCTGGAGACCTGCAGAGGATCCCAAACACCCCTGCACCTCCCTCCCCAGTACACGTCACGATACAACCATCGCTGTGCGGCCTTGTCCCTTGTGTGGGAGATACTCGTGCACATTGTCACGCATCCCTCTCCCAAGCATTTCCATACTGGACGCCTGAGTACACCCAGGCACACCTACACGTGCATGCCCCCAGCAGCCCCTCGGGAGCCTCCCTGCCCTGCCCAGCACAACACAGGTGCGGCCACTCGTGTGTACACAGGTACACCAGGTATGTCTTTGTGTTCATGCCTGCGCTCTAAGAACACCAGACAGCTGAGCGCTCACCGGTAGTTGACGGGCCAGCGGACCATCCACATGCGGTGGTAGGAGAGGGAGGTGACAGAGAAGCAGGTGGCCAGGGTGAGCGTGTAGAAGGTGGACACAAAGACCTTGCAGAGGCCCTCATTCCACTCATAGTCAGGGCGCTGCCGCCGCAGCTGCACCACAGCATAGGTGGCGATGGGCACCGCCACGTTGAGCATGTGGGTGGCCGCAAGTGTGCACAGCAGGAACTCCAGTGGCTTCCACTTCTTCTGCTTGGCGCCGACGCTGAGGATGCCCCAGGCGTTGGCCAGCAGGGAGAGGCCCCCACATGCCAGCCAGCCCACCGCACTGCCAGGCAGCCGCCGCTCATCACTCATGGTGTAGACCGGAGCTGGCAGGCGGCTGGGGCATCCTCCTTGGAGCCAGGCCTCGGCACAGAGCAGCAGCCCTCACTCTCGGTGGCTGGGGGACACCAGGGACAAGCATCTGTGGAGGTGGGGGCAATGAGTGCTCAGTGACTGCCTCTCCGGCTACAGCATTGGAGCTCTTGGGGCCCCTGGAGTGGGAGAGGGGGAGCGCTATGGTTTGAGTGTCCCCCTCCAAAACTCACGTCGAAATTTAATTGCCATTGTAACGGGATTTAAAGTGGTGGGACCTTTAGGCGGTGAGGGCTCCTCCCTCATGGGTGGATTTCATGCCTTTAAAAAGGGGCTTCTGGGAATGGGTTCTCTCCCTTGGCTCTTCCATGCTTCTGCCATGTGAGGAACAGTGTTCCTCGCCTCCGGAGACGCAGAGTTCAAGGCGCCATCTTGGAGCAGAGACCAGGCCCTGCCAGCACCTTGATCTTGGACTTGCCAGCCTCCAGAATGGTGAGAAATGAACTTCTGTACTTGATAAATTACCCAGTCTCAGGTATTCTGTGACAGCAGCACAAACGACTAAGACAAGGGAGGGTCCCATGGGACTGCTACACCCCCCTCTCTACCCCTTGGGGCCTGTTGCCCAGGTCCTTGGCAGCAAGGGAACTGTATACAGGGGTGTCCAATAAGTGCACATCCCCTCAGTTCTGCCCACTACTGGTCAAGGCTTGGAATCTGGGCTTCCTTCCAGGTCACCTGCATCCTCAGGGAACAAGCCAGGCTGGGCCCAGATGGCACTCTGGCCCCATGTGTCCTGGCCCCATCCCAGAACAAGACCTCTTGCCATCAAATGTTCCAAAATCCTCGGGGACTTGCTTTCATTCATTCCACTTCACTTGGCCACACAAGGACGGGCCTGGGACGATTATGTCTCCTAAACCTCCTTTCCCTCTCCTGATCGCCATCTGACCTATGAGACAGGGGGGAGACGGGGTGGGGGGGCTGGTCACCACTCTCATGCCCACCCCGAGAAGGAGCAGTGTGCTTTGTCAGCCCCCAGCTGGCCTTCCACAGCCGGGACCCCAGCTGGGATTAAAGCTCCAGGACAGTAGCTGTGTGGCTTGGAGGTCCCTGCACCTGTCATCCTCTAATGGGGACTGTAATGCTTCTTGCACAGGAAGGCCGGAGTGGACAGATGCCACAACTCCAAAGCTCTAGGCCTAGGTCTCGCAATGGTGGGTGCCCTGGGGTGGTGGTCAGTATCATGCCCTGGACAGCGTGGGCACCATGGGCCTGGAGATGGCCCAGAGACCACACCTTGACCCTGAGGAGGAACTGCCAACTGCCTTTGGATGTGAGCCAGAGACACAGGACGCTGGGTAGGAAGTAGGCGTTGGGAGGTGCGCCATCCTGCCAGAGGGCTGGGCAGTGAGTCCCTCCTGCCCCCCAGCCTGACATCCTCTGCTCACGGGTACTTGGCCTTCTCACCGAGGGCCTGTGTAATGTCGTTTGCTGGTTCTCATATCTGCAATACTTATGGGCGTTTACTGTAGCAGACACAGCCACAGGATCCCCAAGGAGGAATTCTCTGCAGCTTGGGATGGAGCGGCCCCCGCATCCTTAGCCAGGGCCCTGGCTCTCAGGCTGTGAAAACAATGCTGCCCTGGCTGGCCAGCGGGCGCCCCTGCTGGTCTGTCCGCAGCCCGACTCCCCCTAGACTTGCAGGGGCCCCTGAGGGATGTGTCTCATTCATCTTTGTGCCCCTGCCCTGAAACTCCCCAGACCCCTGACCCAGGGTAGCAGTCTAGTCTAGATGACAGCAGGGCCCCTTAGTGGCTTCCTGGCTAGGGGACGGCTGTGGCCAGAGAAATTCCTTCTCAAACATTTATCAGGTTTCTGCTTGTAGAGCAGCCTCCTCTTCCCCATCCCAGACCCAGTGCGGGAGGTGGGGTGGCCCCGTTGAACTGTCTACCAGCCATTCACGTGTCCGGCAAACCTCCCCGACAGCAGTGTGAAGGCCACGTGGTAGGGGAGAAAGAATGTGGACTTGACTGAGGCTGCTGGACTCCAACCCCAGCTCCTCAGCCAGTTATTTGACTACTCTGTGCCTCAGTTTTCTCATCTGTAAACTAGACATGATACCTACCTTGAAAGGTGTTGTGGGTAGTTAATGAACTATGCCAGGAAAAGTGCTTAGAATGGAGCTAGGCATGCAGTAAGTGCTCAATGCTTGCCATCTAAATGTCTATTTTAAAGCTCTCGCAGCTCACTGAGCTCTGCTGTCTCTTAAGGGTCAAGACGCTGAGCCTGGAGGTGTGGGTTAGCCTCAGACCCATGAGCAGATACATTTTCACCAGGACCAGGACTTGGGACAGACTAGTCTCAGGGGTGAGGAGGCCACAGGGCAGCCTCCAGCCTTTGGGGTGCCTGGCAGCCTGCTGGGGGTTCAGAGCAGAGACTATGGGTAAGTGCTGTGGGCAGAGCTGTAGACATCCATGGTCTTTACAGTATCGCCAGGAAACTGGACTCAGTAGGCACCTGGTGGGCCAGTATCTCTACCTGCATTGGGCTACGGTGGCCATCAGATTGGGAGGCCCAGCAGGCTCTGTCTGACCCCTGTGACCATGGCCCAGTCCAGCCCACCCTATCCACGCGATGACTACCGGTGTGGGCGGTGAAGAAGGTGCCACAAGCCACCAGCAGCACAACCCTTCACGGTGCCTGTTCTCCCCCTCATCTAGCCTAATGGAGTCTTGCTGCAGGGAAAGGCTCCTGGGTCTGTGGGCAGGGAAGTGTGCCCCAGGGGTAGGGGAGGTATCATCTTGGAAACGGCACGCTCCTCCCAATTAGTGTCCCCAGCTATTCTGTGTGATGGATACCTTTGTCATCCTCGTTTTGAAGACGATCTAGCAGAGGCAGAGAGGTAAAACCATTTGCCCAAGCCACCATGTGCCTGAGCCAGGGTGCAAAGTACTTCCCTGACATCAAAGTCCCAGGCTTTCCACCTAAAATGTTTGGCAACATGACGTTTTTTGTCCCTAGAGCTGAGGTCTTTCTGAGCCTCCTGTTCCTGCAGGGCAAGTTCCACTGTTCCCACATCGAAGGTAGGAACACTTTGGCTTGAAGCTCAGGGCAACACAGACAGGAGTGTCAGAGCTGGGTTTGGGGCCCAGCACTCCTGAGCACTGTGGTCCTGGGATGGGGGAGGAATGTCCCTGGGGGTGACGGTGAGGGGTGGATACCAGGTCTTCAAGTGCAGAGTGACAGGGTGTCCCCCCTGCTCGGTCGGTGACCACAGACCCACGGATCACACACCCACTGTTTATTCTTCACAGGGAGTAGTGGCCACTAGGGGCCAGACTCCAGGCTGGGCTCCTACCATTGCGGTCTGCACCCAGGGTGTCGCTGTCCCCTGCTGGAAAGTTTCTCCCGCATCGAACTCAAAGCACCCCCGCAGCATTTCAGGATAGAGCCTCCCACCTCCCCGCCCGGAAGGCGACCCGCGTTGGCCCTACAGCAGGGCAGACTGCAGGTGGGACCGGCCTGGGACCCTCCCGAGCCACGAAGAGTCCCTCCACAAGGTCCGAGGGCGGGGCCGCGGCGTGACGTCAAGGCCCGGGACCAATGAGGCCGCGCGGCCCCAGGGCTCTATTGCGCCACAAAGAGAACCCAGAACTTGAAAGGATTCCCCGGGCTCCGGCTGCGCCCCGGCTCCCGCTCCCACGCTGGTCTGTGCCCGCGCTGTCGCCCGTCGGTCCTG